TATTTTTAGATTACTCTCATACACATTGCAATGCAGCAAAGAATACTAATCTATCTGCAGCTGTCTGTCAGTTGTCGGTCAAGTCCATGACAACTAAATAATCAAAAATAGAAATAATGCTCCCTACAGAGATGTATGCTGAATGGTTGTTTGTCTAATTAATGCCACGGCGAGCAATTGTCAGAATCCAACCCTTTCCCTGTATCCCTCTTGAGTAATCGCTTTGTGTCAACGTTCCTAAGCATCTGGTTGAGCAGCGTGTCTAAAGGTGTGCACTCTGGCCCACCCCTGTGCCCCAAGTCAACGCCGAACTTCCAGCCCCTGCACATTATTTACCCTCGCATGCAACGAGCCTTACACACGGTTTGATCTGGCTGATCAGGAGGCATTTAAGGAGATCCCCCGTAACTCCGCAGGAATTATTTAACGCCGCAGACAGGACGACGATCACAGCCAGAATCAACACCGAGTCCCCGCCAGAAATACTTAGAGACGGTCCGGTAAGCGTTTGTTCAAAGGGCTGGCATGCCCTGCATAACCTTTATTGCGCAGCAGCAGAACCAAGGACGTGCGGCAAAGCATCCGTGTACTAGTCCAGCGGATTGGCATGGTGACCGTGACCCGAGTGCTTCGTCCAGGGCCCTTCAGAGGCTTTGCCCGTCTCCTGCCCAAGAAGAATGTCGATTCTCAAGGAGCGCTCGCGACACCTCACATTGAGAGGACTCTCAAGACAAAACTCACTTCCTCACGGTAAGAAGCAATGAAGAGGGTAGATAAGGAATGAAGCAACGTACCTCATAATGCTGCCCCCAACCAGAGGTTTCTTACCGACAACCTGATGTGCATTTATGATGACCGGTCTTTGCCTCGGCACAACCAACAGCAGAATGCAGTTCCACCTCGGCTTAAATGCCACATCAGCGAGCTCTCATCATCCAGCGTACACCCCTAATGTCACCACATAGCTTCCTGGCGCGCCCACACGACCCTGGGCCGCCTTACGTTCAACGCCCAAGCCTTATCACTGCTCCACACCTCATGCGAAGCACCGAACAGCTATTGCGAAGAACCAATGAGCGCAGTTCGAACCAGCTCGGATACCAAATTGCAAGGAAAATGAACAGAAGCGAGATGACAATATTCAGATTGCACAATCACATTGAAAGACAGATCGTATCACAGTGTTCAGAAAGTAGCATTGCACCAATATTACACCAATGGAGAATAGTAGCACTGAAAGCCAATGTCAATGAGAGCTTGCTCTCGCCACCACCAACATATGTAT